ACAGAAGCTGTGACAGAAGCTGCAGTTAGTGACCGCTGAGACAGGTGGCGCTGTGATTACAGCGCCACGGTCTCAGTGATGACACAGAGCAGGCGAAGAACGTCTATTCTTCGTCTGCTCTATGGTGATCTCCATCGTCGCCGCTGCTCGGTTTTAATACGAGTGATCTCGTTAGATCACTCGTATTGAACGAGCAGCGGCTCCTACTACTCGCCCGGCGCCCGAAACTGCATGTCTCGGGCGTCGGGATTCGCTCCATAAGACGCAGGCACTTTTTCCCCCCTCCTTTTGGGGGGGGAAAAAGTGCGTCTTATGGAGCGAAAAATACGGTAGTTATTACGCTAGTTATTATTAAAACCAGTAGCAACTGAATGCAGAGGCAACTATTTATGATAATAAAGAGTAGATGCATAGTCCTATACAACCGGCCCTTTGAGGGTAACCATACTGCTGATGCCGCCCCCGATGAATTTGAGTTTGCCACCCCTGCTCTAGAGGGTTACTATACTTGTCTGCTGGGATTATCATACTACTCAAAATACCTGTGTATCAGTGACCTTAGTTTTTCATTTGACTATCCGTATCCTAGTTGTCATTTATAGAGACTGCCAGCTACGAAGCAATAGCCATACCTCTCTTCCTCTTTTTGTTACAAGGCTATGATGCAAGCATCTCAAACTCCCCGATAAAGATTGGGAGCGACGCCTGAGATTCACGCCTGAGAAGCCTTCTCTTCATACCTACCTCGCTCTATACCTTCCGCAGCTGAGATCCAATCAGTCACTCGCAACAACAGGCGTGACACCAGACCCCCGTATCAATCATCTTCTCACTGATGCGTTTCGCCGACCTTTCAGGTTTAATGGTAGAGGCAACCTCAGTACTTATCATATTATTAGGAGGGTTCATGGCTATAAACACGGTATCAGGTCAGACACGGGCTGCATTTTCATAAAAAGGGAGGAGCCGACTGTCCTCGGTCTTACCTGCGGTATCATTGAAATAGTCCGGATGTCCGACGCACTCCGCAAGTCTGTTTTCAACCATCTTTATAATAGCGCATTCCTCCGGAACACAAAGTGTCTGCAGGAAAAAGAGAGAATATATGTGAGAAACAGCGAGAGGAGGAGGAGCCGGAAACACACACTGCGAGCTGATCAATGAACATATATGCATCATATCATCTGTATATCTCTGGCATAGTCTGTAGCGCTGTATAGATAACCTTGTGCCATTCCCATCACTCTCTGTACAGAGGATCTTCCCCCGCCATACCAGGAACATACCCCAGTATTTATACCTCCCACCGTGCCAGAAACTTACCCCAGTATTTATATCCACACAGGTAACGGTGGGGGTATAAATGCTGAAGTATTTTCTGGGTACGGTAGGGTATGGGGGGTATAAATACTGGGGTATGTTCCTGGTATGGTGGGGGTATGAATGCAGAACAAGTCCAGTTGAATGTCACCGTCTATGCCATGACCTGGATACATGAGAACCTTCACAGGGTGTAGTCCGGAGTGGAGCTCTTTGTACACAGCGGGGGTTGCAGCTCGCCTCTCTCTCGGCGATGAGCATCACATATTTTATTAATAAGAGTTCAGCAAAGTGCAGAGGTGACAACTGTGATCAGGGCCCAAAGGGACATCCGGCACCATTTTAGAACCCAGCTCAGAATAGAAACACGTCCATCACTATCTCTGTCCATCTGCAAGGAGTTTGCATGTTCTCCCCGAGCTTGTGCTGGGTTTCCTCCCGCACTCCAAAGACACGCTGGAAGGTTCATTGACTCCGGTCTAAATTGGCCCTCGTATGTAAGCATGTGTGATAGGGACCTTAGATTGTAAGCTCCTGGAGGGCAGGGACTGATGTGAATGTGCAACTGTGTAAATCGCTGCGTAAAATTGTTTGCTCTATATAAAATTGTCAACTCCTCCCATACTCGCCTCCAGGACTTCTCTAGAGTCTCTCCCATCCTCTGGAACTCTTTACCCCAAACTGTCTGTCTATCTCCCACTCTGACTGCCTTTAGGCGATCCCTTAAGACTCATCTCTTCAGGGAAGCCTATCCCACCTCAACCTAACTGCTCAAACATCACGTTCTCAAACAATTCATCCCCACACAGCCACCTCCTCATGTATCACTGGCCCCTCCCTTTTAAATTGTAAGCCCTCAGGGGCAGGGCCCTCCTTACCATCTTGTCTTGAATTGTATTGTGATTGTAATGTCTTCCTTATATAGTAAAGCGCTGCGCAAACTGTTGGCGCTGTATAAATCCTCTATAATAATAAATAAATGAATACATTTTGATGGTTCACATTCAGGTCTAGCCTATATGGATCTATAGTTGGGCCACAGCTAGGACCATCCTAATGCACCAGCCTGAGATACTATATAGGACAGATGGACCGGGCCTGGCTCTCCCAGAGAACAGCCTGAGATCCCATATAGGACAGGTGGACCGGGCCTGGCTCTCCCGGAGAACAGCCTGAGATACCATATAGGACAGGTGGACCGGGCCTGGCTCTCCCGGAGAACAGCCTGAGATACCATATAGGACAGGTGGACCGGGCCTGGCTCTCCCGGAGAAATCTTTCCTTGACAAGACAACAGGAAGCAGGTTACAATGGATGGATGCGAGCAGATAAATTATTCACTGTTCTCACAATATTGGATGCCAAGAGGAATCTCAACACAGCCGGCAAGATACCGCTAATCCTGTCACCGCAACACGGGAAGAAAAGAGAAAGGCGTAGAGAAGGTAATTGAAACCTGAAAAGGTGACACATCAAAAAGGTGCCGTCAAATGGCCACGAGAGAGTTTTCCTCCTTCTTGTTTTACCTCCGGCGTTAATGATTTGGACAAAAGAATACAACATGGCAAAGCCCAATTTTCAGGAGAGATCCTTCCACTCTCCGAGTCATCTTCTATTGTACACGGGTGTCACCTTCACTTTACAAAGTGAAGTTATACACTGAGTGGGCAGATTATTATGACCACCTGACGTTTGTAGGCACATTAGCTATAATTTGGCGCTGAAGTTGCTAGAGGGCCAGACCATTATAAATAGGGAAGCAGGTTGGTTACCATTACAGTAGAAGGTGTTTGTTTCTGAAGATTCGGGGAAACAACGCGATTTAACAGCCTTTGAACGTGGGATGATTGTTGGCGCTCGGAGCCATGGAGCGAGTATCAGCAAAACAGCAGAATTCGTTACATGTTCAACAGCAGCTGTTGTTAAAGTGTTTAAAGAGTGGACTGTCAGCCGAAAATCTGGGTCTGAACGTGCGAATTGTGGCCGTCAGCGACTAGTCAATGTTAGGGCAGAACGGGGGAGGGGCAAGACTGGTACAAGACAACAGAAGGGCAACAGTGCCGTGTCAGATTCCTCGCATCACCAACGAAGTACTGATGGGGGGGTCATAATAATCTGGCCACTCAGTGTATTTTTCAGGATGACCGTCTTTACTCTGTAGACACACGTTATATTTCAACAAGAGCGACATCCGGCCTTCCCTTCAGCCTTTGCCAGTTTTACCGGCTCCTCTCCTGGACTGAAAGTGCTTCCTCCGATCTCACTGCACACTGGGAGCTTCTCACAATGTGTTGGAGTAAGCCAGGGGTGCCCATTAGGTCAATCGCAAAGCGAACACTGGTAGATCGCAATACACTCACTGACCTGAGCGCACTGAGCAGCTGAAAGTGCCAGACGCTGCAGACGAGAAGGTGTGGGGCACCTCTCCCCGTATGCAGCGTCAGCCACACGAGCACTGAGGAAGGAGAGGAAGGCGCACGTGAGAGAAGAGCTGGGAAGCAGCTGCAGTGCAGGTAAGGAAAGGCAGTCAGGAGAGAGAGAGAAGAGAGAGCCGAGAGAGAGAGAGAAGAGGCAGCAGAGAGACAAAAAAGACAGCAGAGAGAGGAGACCGCAAAGAGAGAAGAGACTGCAGAGAGAGAGAGGAGACAGCAGAGAGAGAGAGGAGACCGCAGTGAGCGAGAAGAGACAGCAGAGAGAGAGAGGAGACCGCAGAGAGTGAGAAGAGACAGCAGAGAGAGAGAGAGACAGGGGAGAGAGAGGAAACCGCAAAGAGAGAGAGGAGACCGCAGAGAGTGAGAAGAGACAGCAGAGAGAGAGAGAGAGACAGGGGAGAGAGAGGAGACCGCAGAGCGAGAAGAGACAGCAGAGAGCGAGAAGAGACAGCAGAGAGAGAGAGAGGAGACCACAGTGAGCGAGAAGAGACATCAGTGAGAGACAGGGGAGAGAGAGGAGACAGCAGAGAGCGAGAAGAGACAGCAGAGAGCGAGAAGAGAGAGAGAGAGACAGCAGAGAGAGGAGACCGCAGAGAGAGGAGACCGCAGAGAGAGAGGAGACCGCAGAGAGAGAAGAGACCGCAAAGAGCGAGAAGAGACAGCAGAGAGAGAGAAGAGACAGCAGAGAGAGAGAAGAGACAGCAGAGAGAGAGAAGAGACAGCAGAGAGAGAGAGAGGAGACCGCAGAGAACGAGAAGAGACAGCAGAGAGAGAGACAGGGGAGAGAGAGAGAGGAGACAGCCAAGAGCGTCGGCCGGTTCACACCACAAAGTCTGCGCTCCAGAGCGTCGGCCTCTAGAACGCACTGGAACGCAAGCTAGCCGGCTCCCTGCGTTTAGGGGCGGGAGGGGGCGTGGCGGTGCATTGAAGGCAATGGCACCGCAGCCACGCCCCACGCCTGCAGTGCGATCGTCGAGGCCGAACACTCTGGAACACAGACTTTGTGATGTGAACTGGCCCACAGAAAGACAGCAGAGAGAGAGGGAAATGGGGAGAGAGCGAGGAGAGAGCACGAAAGAGAGAGGCAGTAGTCCCAGTAACGATTTTAATGTGCTTTTTTTCTAAATAAAGGTGTATTTCCGTTGGTAGACCTTATTGAGCTCGTCATTTGAAAAGTAGATCTCCAGACGAAAAATTGTGGGCGCCCCTGGAGTAAGCAATTTCAGTGCAGGAGAGGATCCTGTACAACTGTGCAAGACTATGGGGAGGGCAGAGTTCAGCTTTAAAGTCCAAGGAAAGCTATAAGTCCATCTGAGACTTCCATGTGGTCACAAGCTGCCGAACGATTCCACTGCATACTAAAAACAGCGTTGTCACCCTATTACAGGAAATGGGGAAAAAAATAACATTTCTTCTACCAAGATCAACATGTAATAAATGATGTTACATGGGGGACTCAGAAATACAATAACTACTGTTGTCATGCTACAGAGAGACCGCCTCATATCTTTTATATCATGATTCTGCCCATAGTTACGCTTTAACCTTCAGTAAATTAGGCTCCTATTAGCTGTAGCCATGAACGCACTTCAAAAACAGACGTTTTATCATCAGCAAATACAGTCGGGCTCGATCTTCAAGCTTTAAAACACTGCGTGCTCTAAGGGTGACTTATAAATACCTCGGGATAATCTCTGTCTCTAATTTGTTTGCACACAAAGCAATTAGTTTGGCCGAGTATAAACACAGAGTACATGCCGTCTTCCCTTGTCCGCATTTTCATACAATATAAAGAATGTTTCTTACGGCTAGTTCAATAACGATAAGTGGACAAGCCGGGACCTGCCTGATCCCTGCGTATCTGTCAATATAAACAGTTTGCGTGCAGAGAGGTATTGGGTTACTGGGAAATGGACGTCGAGGTGAAATGGTGGTGCTTGGCATGACACAGCAGGACAGAGAAGCTGTTCTCTTTTTGATTTTCAAGTCAACGTGGAGCCTATCGAGTGTGATAGAACTGTAAAATTGGAGTGGATGGCTAGCAAAACACTTCCCCCTGCTAGCTGAGATCAAACTTTGAGCTCTGCTTTGTTCTGAATAAAGTAGGGAAGGGTCATTACCTATCTTGGGTTTGGATTGCTGAGGGATGGAGCTAGAAAATGCTGGATCAAAAAGTAGGTTTACCTACTTTTGGATCCATATTGAGGATACCGTATTTATATTGCCATTACATATTGAGGATCCATATTTTAGGATACCGTATTGAAGCGCTATGGTGGACGTCTCAAGGGAATTAGCGTGGGCACTACTGGATCCAGCATCTCAGAGTTCTCTTTACTCTAGCAGATGCTGGATCCAATGGAACATTGATCTCATATTTAAGTGCTAAAAGTATACAAGTGCTATGGTTGATGGCTTATGGGCATAAGCATGGGCACCATTGGATCCAGCATCTCAGAGTTCTCTTCACCCTAGCAGATGCTGGATCCAATGCAACAATGATCTCATAGTCCAGTGCTATGGTTGAAGTGTACAAGTGCTATGGTTGACGGCTTAGGGGCATGAAGAGAACTCTGGCAGATGCTGAATCCAATGGAAGATTGATCTCAAAGTCATGTAATAAATGGTACAAGAGTGTACAAGTGCTAAGGTTGATGGCTTATGGGCATTATCATGGGCACCACTGGATCCAGCATCTCAGAGTTCTCTTCACTCTAGCAGATGCTGGATCCGATGGAACATTGATCTCCTATTTAAGTGCTAAAAGTATACAAGCGCTATGGTTGACGTCTCAAGGGGATTAGCATGGGCACCATTGGATCCAGCATCTCAGAGTTCTCTTCACTTTAGCAGATGCTGGATCCAATGGAACATTGATCTCATAGTCAAGTGCTAAAAGTGTACAAGTGCTATGGTTGACGGCTTAGAGGCATGAAGAGGACTCTGGGAGATGCTGAATCCAATGGAGGATTCATCTAAAAGTCATGTAATAAATGGTGTACAAGTGCTATGGTTGATGGCTTATAGGCATTAGCAGGGTCACCACTGGGTCCAGCATCTCCTAGAGTTCTCTTCACTCTAGGAGATGCTGAATTCAATGGAAGATTGCACCCATAGTGAAGTGATAAACTGTATTGAAGTGTACACGAGCAATGGTTGATGACTCATGGGCATTAGCATGGGCACCACTGCATCCAGCAACTACTAGAGTTCTCTTCACTCTGGAAGATGCCGGATCCAATGGAAGATTCATCTCATAGTCAAGTGCTAAACCATATTGAAGTGTACAAGAGCCGTCAGTGTTTTTGAGGGCCCGTTCACACCAGCACAGTGCGTAAATCGAACAGCCCTGTGCGATAAACACGCTGTACCACTCAATCACACCTACTACACGCTCTGGTGTGGGATGTACATTGCCATTTATTTGAATGCCACCCCAAATGCACCTCCCGCCCATAGCTTAACTGCCCGCACCAGAACGCGCTTGGGTCGCAACTTAATGACCACGGACAAATGTGGGTCCTGAGGTTACACAGGTTGAGAACCACTGCCTTAAACCACTTACCCATTGACATCTGGCTTTGCAAAGTGTCCTGTCTGCAGGAAAGGAAGTGAAGGGGAATCTCTCCAATGGGACACATTCAAAAAAGTATTCCTGATGGGTTTTAAAGGAGAAGTATGAGGGGAGTGCTTTTCACTCACCTCATAGTTCTAGCCGACCTGTGACAATGAGACTGTCACAGGTCGGCTCAGTAGATCGGGAGGTGAGCGAACACATACCGGTGTTCGCTCACCTCTCGATCCTGTCACGGCTCTCTGCCGTGACAGGGGAAGGGCTGTATTGCCCCCTCCCCGCTCCAATCCGCCAGCGCTGACTGGCGGAACGGACGGGGGCGGGTACAGCTGGCTCTGCCTCTAGATAGGCAGAGCCAGCTGTCACGCAGCTGGGCAGATCCTGGCACAATTGTCGGGATCCGCTTCAGCTGCGGCGTCTCAGTATACCGCGAGCTACAGCTCGCGGTATACTGAGCCTAGGGTGATGGGAGGACGCTAGTTTGTGTCCTCCCGTTACCCTAAGGAGAACTATGGGGAAAAGCCTTAACTCCATAGTTCTCCTTTAACTAGGGATGCACTGATACTTTTCAGATACCAGTGCCGATACTTGGAATTTTCACGAGAACTCCCAGGGTTGCAGCGGTTGCAGCTGGGACCGGGCTCTGACGCTCCACCGCTGTCCTGAAATCATTAGTTTGTATTGTTTTAGAAAAACTGTCACATGACAACAAAAATGTATCAGTACTTGTATCCGTGAGGACTTGGACCAGTATCAGGACTTGTACTCGCAAAACTGGTATCTGTGCATCCCTTTATATATATTTATAAAAACAAAATCATACATATAAAAACAGAGATGTACAAATCCCGGGAGCTCCGTGTGATCCTTACAAATGACAGCGGCCTCCTAACTCTTGAATTTTTCTCTGGTCTAGTCTTGGAGCTGGAAAAGTACTTGTACCGAGTATGGTACTTGGTATCGGTGCATCCCTAGTTTTAACCATTCCATCCTGTGTCCAATATGATTTTGGCTATACATAATATTTAACTTTAAATCCATTCATACCTAAAAAAAGTTTTATTTCCGATACTCCAAGTACCAAACCTATGAACCACACCGGACATACTATTAAAATATTAGGAAACATGCAAGTTTCATCATTTTTATAACTGCAACAAGGCAAACAAACAGAGAAAAGTCCGTCCTGGCACAGCATTTTGCAGTGAACTCCGCCAGGGATCAAACGGAAGGCAAATATTTGCCGTGTTTGGAAAAAAAATTATATTATTGACTTTTCTTGAAATCGATACAAGAGTTTTGGCGATATCTGCTTGTCAAACAAAAACACAGGAAGGCAATTACACGAAATTAATTTCCTCAGATACCTAGTTAGACCAAAAAAAAACGAGAAGATAGCACTGCAGCCAAAATAGTCTTTGATCCTGGAAGTTTTGCGGGAAGTCAGTT